AGCACTTAAAACTGCTCATTTCCATTTCGAAGTGATCGTAGTGTTATGGACAGTCAGGCGTGCGGTGACAAAGCGGGTAGCTTCGCTTCACGTCTTTCAAAACTAACTACATAGCCTTCACTACGATTTATCACGTGCTCTCCTTCGTGAGCAATTAGATATTACCAAATCGATCGCACATGGTTGCAGACGCGCTGCGACCGTGCGCGACAGCGGCCTGTAAATCTCATGGCCACCCGTACTGGCGGAGCTGCCTGCATCTGTTGATTGGTAGAGAGATTTTTTTACACTACCGATGAGGGGGAGGGGAAAGAAACGGGAACCTGTGTGCACTAAAAACGTTTTTACAAGAGCTTGTAGTGAGTGGGTTCTCTAAGTAAACATTCTTTACCTCGCACTCGATCACGTGCCCGAAAAACAAGCCCATGTGGCAGAAATCACGCAAATAAGTTCACTTGGTCTAGAAGAAGGAAACTGGCCAAATTTGACCAATTTTGACACAAACTGTTATTCACTCTTGAAATAGTATCACACTCGGAATCGCACTCGTTTTGTTAGTGAGAATTAAATTGCAGAACACATGCTTGGTTCATGAGGAAAGAAATCGTCAATTACCGTCAACTTGTTCTCCATACGGTCCAATCGTCACTGGAAATATGATAGTGGAATCGATATCAATCGATAACCATTTTTTTCGAAATTGAATTCTGGCGGTTCTTAGCTGCCAACGTGGTGACCCCTTACTTTTTACACAGCGTCCTTTATACGCTATAAAACTTAACTACGGTAGCGATTGCGACTACCGAGTTACTCGATTAGGCCTCAGCGCCACGGTGCCAGCCAGTACCTTTAATTACTCTTCCTAATGGGTCCTAATAAGTCCTTCGCACATTTCATATTAATATTTAGTGATATCATATTTCTTTTGTTAGGGTTTTATTCGCAATCACGATAGTAATCGATCGAGGATTCGTCTACGATTCGTCGAGGATTTTCGCCTGTTCAGTCACGCTCTCCCGCGCGGACATTCACTCTCGCCACGCGCGAGCCGTCTGTGCTCTCCGCGCGTACATTCACTCTTGACACTATTCTCACACAGTATGGAGCAACTTTTGAATACTTCGTCGACCGTTACTCGCCCCGTCTTTCACCGATGAGGCTTGATGACGTGATAAGCCGCACCACCCTCCGGCCATCGTGATGGCCACTGCCTTTAAGTTAGGCCAGCAGCGATTGCATAAAACAACCACAAGGCTTTCACATTGTACCGCTGCTAGTCTGATGTCCACACTTACTTTTCTTAGTGCACGGGATAAGCTGGCTAAAACTTGAATAGCCTTCTTTGGGAATGGACTTAGGCAGGAAGCAGTCTCGGGGAAACCAACCGAACCTATAGAAAAAATGGAAATATTGCTAGATACGGGAAGCAACCAGAACGGGCGAAACCACAGCAGGCCCTGCCCATAAATCCCAAATCTAATTTCACCCAATTTCAATTTCACTCTGATTTTCAACCAAACTCAAATAAATCCTCGGTCATAAATTCGTTCCTAATTGGTCGGTAGGGTTAGAATATCGAGTAAGCTGAGGGTGAGCCACGGTCACGAATTCAATTGGGAGAGGACCGTATATGCCGTGCTTTAGGAAAGAGAGGGTCATAGGGATTAGTAGTCGGGGACAATGAGGTTGAAGCAGTGCAAGAAAAAGGGGAAATATCAAAAAATATTCCCTAGTAACAATGCACTAACCTTTATCCTTCCTCCCACCCCTCCCTCTCCTTCCCCAGCACTACGCTCTTCTGGGATTTTAGGAGCTGAGAGAGAAGTGCGTCAGGTACCCGGTCCATCAGCTTTCCAAACCAATGGCCATTGCATGGAAGGGGGAAAGTTCGGAAAGAGGGAGATGAAAAGAGGGTCCGTATTTCTGAGCAAAGAGGATCCTAATAGTTTAGATTTTCTCACCATAGCTCAACATGGTGTACACCCTCACATCCCCACAACTGGTCATCTACAGGCCACTTGCGCATGGAAACGCTACTGCATTTCTGAATGGATGCCGCCTACGTGGCGCGTACCGAAGGGGGTCAGAGTGTAGGGATCAAGGTGGCTGGGAAGCTTCTTCAAGCTCACCGCTGTCGTATGTGTTACGACAGCCGTAAGCTTGACACAGACAGGCTTTTAGCGCTATTTTTGCCTAAAAAAATAGGGCCTCTTTGAGAACCATGAAAAGTTGGCCAGCTACATAGTTTCCCTTTCAGCCAGCGCCAAATCTGCCGACTTAGCCCTACCTTACCCCTTCTAAATTGCGAATACGGTAAATGTGGCCCGGCAACTACTTTTTACTCCGACAACCGCCAGCGCTATTGAGCTGACGATCTTTGACTGGTCGATATTGGGGTCCTATGCCGTCGTCTGTTTGCACAGCACGTGTGCAATTACGTACATCCTGCGAAGCGTCAAGAAACAAACGCTAGCGTCTACTCAAACAGAATGAAGAGTACAAAGAATGCGGAAATTCTGTAGGTTGCAACTAATCGATAAGAATCGATATCACTTACTTGAAGTGCCGAACATTGTTGATTTGACCGTGGAGCACACTTTGAGCTGAGTGGCTATCGTTGGAATACGTTCGGCCATTTGAAGGAGAGCCTGAAATACGGTAACTAATGAAACTACTGTAATCAGTAAGGCGTTTTCCAGGGGACACTCTGCATCTCTAACACCAGGTGATGTCTGCGTCTCTCACAAGCGGAATGGGCACAGTTGGCAGGAAATCATCGCGAAAAGCGCACAACACTGGTCACGGAAACACTTCAAAATTCGACAAGTACAACAGAATGTCACTTAAAATCCGTCCAAACGCTGTCGCTTTCCTAACGATGAGAGTGTCACTCTGTTTGCTGAGGTATAGGTTCCCTGGAAGAATTTACCATTCGCATCTTGAGATCTGTGCAGAGGCGAGCGAGTTGTACAGCCAGTCGGGTAACTTCCTCACTTGAGTCGGCGATCGCTTTAGCACATTCGATGAGGTCCTGCAATGAAAAAGCTTTGTTTGTCTATCAAAAAACCGCACTTGTAGCTGCTCAAAGGATCAACAACGGATCAGGGACAACTGGAACAAATTATTCGTACAACTGGAACAAGTATAAAATGTTGAGTGCTGATTCACACCATTTTTGTGCAATAATTCAACCACAGAAAAGGGGAACACAATTCCGTGTTCTGAATTTCGTTCTTGATTTTGGTATGTGACTTTTGCCCTAGTTCGTGGCTGCTGAAAAAGGTTCGGAAACAAAAGCATCGGAAAATATTTCCTCGAAAATTTCCCTGCAATGCTGGACTCACTGATGGCAAACTTTCAAGAAACCCAATATAATTCTAGTTTCTGACAACCCGGTTATTCTGTGATAAGTCTCAAAATCAATCTTGCTTGATCCCTTTCAATTTTCAGCTTCTACACATCCTTGTTGAAAATACGGTAG